ACTCTTGCTGTTAGGAAAAACGGGAACCACGTAAAAATATCCGATGGTACACTCGGATGATTGCGGTGCATTCTGTTTTGAAAGAGGTTTTTCTTATGTCTTGTCACGTGACATCGATGCCAACAAAACAGTGATGAGTGGTTAGAAAAGTAAACGGAGAAACAAAGAGCTTAAACTACTTTGTTACACTACAAAGACTGGGCTCACCACCACACAGGAATCACATCATCCTCTCCCTCACAGGTTTTTATTAAAACACTCGTATGTGAAATTTAAGCTGTTCTGTGGACTCTAGCTTGACTTGATGTGTGCTTCTGATAAGTGTGTCATCTTCTTTTTACCTGTACAGCGTTTTCTTCTTGTCCAACCACCTCACCCTCTGGCTCTGTGAAGGTCTCCTCATAGTAATAATCAGTCTCTGTAGGGGTGTGGCCAGCCTCAGAATATTCAGTGTCTACATCCTAATTGGTCAAGTGGACAGGAAGTGGGGGAGCAGGGAGGAAGTAAGCAAATTCGATTGAGAGAGTATGGTTAGTTCAAAGTCTGCTTCTGGTTCATGATGAGTTAAAAGAAGAAATGAGACATGAAACTGTGGTTGGCAAAGGCAAAGAGCTTTTTAGCTGCAACTCACATCTTTAAAGTTTAAAGAACCGTTTTTGAAAAGAAATTTCAGGTCGTTTCAGAATCTCAGTGACTATAAATGTTGCCTTACGCAAGATTTAGAGAGTCATTGAGATAACTGTAGTGAGATTTCTTTTCATTTCTTCGCTGAACCATTTTTGCTTTTTAAAGCTCACAAGCCAAGACTTAAGAAAGGGTGAAATATGCTCGTATTGGTGGTAGAACTGAGAGCTTCTAGCCATCCCATCAGGTGAAAACATCATAACATGATGTTCTGGGATGAACTAGTTTCACCTCAGGATGAGACAACAGTGAAAAAACCCCATTAAACAGCCTCACAGAACACGATTCAGTGAAGTCAATCACTGCTTTCCACAGCATGCACTTCACGTTCTTCACCTCGACGAACATTTACTGAAATTCTGATTTTAAGCAAAGCATGATGGAAAGTTCTGTGAAGCTGCTTTACTCACATGAGATACAAAATATGACAGCAGACAGGGAGACGGAGATCAGGGAGAAAACACAGGTACGCAAAAAACAACCAAAACATAGAGAGGACAGAGTGACAGGGAGGTCTGATGTGTTGCAAGTGTGTAAAATATGATAGTATGTGTTGCATTTATGTGCCATAGCAATCCATGCTCATTCATTAGACCCGTATGTTAAAGGTTTCCCCGGAAAGAAAGAAACAGAGGGCTGGAGTGCGTTTATGATCTGACATCCAGTTTCAGCAGCTTGAAGGTAGGAGTGAAGTAAAGAACAGTGAAACCGTTCAATTAGCCATGCTTCACTTTGCACCGCTGTACCATATCATATGTGGAAGCTGGCGTGATCATGGAGATCATATGATATATGAACAGACAGCTTGGTATGAACCAGCTTCCATTCTGAAGGCCAGATTTTGCATCATCGAGGATTTGCATCAAAATTACTGAAAGTTCAAAGAATTCACAAAAGAAAGCAGGAAAAAAAGAGGTTTCATAAAACTTTTGCTGCAGATCCTGGATGATGGAAAGATCTGGA